ACCTCACAGATTGTCACTCGTCTTTATCTGCAACACAAATTGATTGCGATAGATGTGGTTGATAGAATACATATATCATGTGTTTGATTTTGAGTCGAGTAATATACGGGTCGGCTTCACGTTTTTGCCAGCGAGGTTATTTGCGGGCATATCATAGAGGACGTCATTACGAGTAAATTGCTCAATCTTCTTTATCCATCAATCCTTTGAATCTTAGGGTGTATCATCGTCAGGACGTTTGAATTGATAAATACGCAGCTCTTGTAATGTACGGCTCCACCTTCCACTTTTATCTTCAATCAGATAAGATTAGGTTCGTGGCTACATACTGTATTCATCATTGCAACCCGGTTGAGGGAGATCGGTGGGAAAAAATTAGCCGGCCGTTACACGGGTATCTAATCTAATATATAAAATCGATCGCACACGTTACGGCGGGCCGGAAACGTTCCTGAAATTTCCTACGTCAAACATGTCAATATTCCGCACAGATTGATTAATTATTGTTTTGCATCCGTCTGCGTTTATATATCATTCAACGGGGGGGCAGCATGTGCTGTTTAGGTCGTTTTGTTTAAACAAGCGTTTTATTGCGGATTATAGTAATACGAGATTTTAACTAATTGCAATAAATAACAAGTAGCTGAATGTACTTGTCAATAATTACTAAATGTGTCTGACGTAACTGGGATTTGGTAGAGAAGAAGTTTTGTGATGCGCAGCTAGGTGCGCATGTGCGTAATAATATATTATAACCTAAGCGCGCATATAGGCAGTGATAAGGTTAGCTTATCTAGATATCGATCTCTCGGTACAATATACATGAATCTACAGTCAAGGCAGAGACCGTAACGGGAAGTATTCGGCAGCCCCATGGCCCATCATCTCACATATATCTCGGGTATCAAATATGGTCGAGATTTGCTTCCCGAGGTCGTATCTGACAACTTAAGCGGCAGCAGTAACCGGGTTGAGTAGCGAGCGGGCGGTAGATTTCACAAGGCTTGCACTGCAGAATGTTTTTCTTTTGTTGTCGAGCAAGTTATGATGGTGCAGTGCCATTCGCTGTCTATTTATATTATGTGCGTTTCCAGAGTTGGTAATTGTTGTATGCGGAGAGAAGCATATATCGGGATGAATTTCAATCTCATTTAAACTCAGGCTTTATAACATGTATGATTACTTTAGTAGAGCGTTCGGTACGTACATGTATGCTACCGCGTATCTATGGAGCACGTTGGATGGGACTAAATCAACATATTTCCGTGGAGAAGGACACTGAGGAAAGCATCGTGGAGGACACTGAGGAGGACAACGTTGCGGTGGACACCGTGGAAGAGACTTTTGAGGGATTCACTAGTGGAGGACGACATGGAGGACGATGTAGGAGAAACTTTTCAGTAGTGATCAGAATTCATGAAGACATACTTACTTATTTGACCGGGAAGCACTCACTCAAACCAGTCCCCCCCTCTCATGCTCTTCCAACCAGACTGATCAAACCGGAAGAAATGGCTCAGGGGCGTCATTCTATCAATGAGGTTCGCTATGGTAGCATCATATCTTCTTTTCTACCTTCCCTCAAAGTTCGATCAAACTCTTCTAGTCTACGTAACTACTATTCTGCAAGAAGACGGGGCCTCCATAAACCGCGACACCACCAACCAGCATCATTTTTCAAAACCAGAACTACCGAAAGCACTCTTCCGGGAGATCAACTGCCTACACTTTGTATGTGTGCAGCCTTGATATTCAATGGTGCTTAGGATTGCACATTATGAATCATGGGTACCAAGTAGAATCTCTACAAACAGGCTCCTTCGTTCTTTTTATGCTCGGTTTCATGGCCGAGCTAGCTAGGTACCTGGATGGCTATGTACACATGGATTGTGAAGTTGACTATGCACATTCTCGCTGTCCTGCACAACTGTGTTTTCTATCTGATACTAATAGCCGAATTTGAAAGAATTTCGAGGCTGAACATTCAGACGATTCTATCACTGGGCAATATTCCGACTCGTGTGGGCGTCACCCCTATTATCCTATAGGAACATCTGGACTTTGTTACTATTTACCCTACTCCTGCAGTAGTACGGCCTACATAGTAAAAAGATCCAGTGCTATAACACCACCAATCATTGGCCCATGCCCGTGGACATCCAAATTCCGGATAGTTGACTTGATTTATGGAAGAAGTGAATTCTACTCAACAATTAGTACTATGCAAGTATCGAACTACAAAGTTATGGGTTTCGGCTTCATGGGGGCCAATACGTGCCACGTTGTATCCTCGGAGTACGTCCAACCATAAGCTCAGTTGGACGACCCCAACATTTCTAGGAGGAACTACACTGCATGAATGTATGTATTACAAGTGTGGTTCCATATCTGGTTATTTCATTGCATAAAGATATGATTACCTAGAAAGGTAGGTACTCATATGATAGAGCCTTTACTCGTATCCTCATGAGATCCTCAAGAGTAAACTCTGTAGAAATAAATCCCTCACGAGGTGTAGTACATTGCATTATGCATGTCATTACATTATGCCTTGATTTTAGTCTATCTGTAATATTTTTTCCCCGGCTCGCTAGAGTGAATACAGTAGATTCGTGATCGCTGGTCTTAAAGGAGTTCCATCGTTTTGGCGGGTTTGAATTTCGGACCTAAGCCGTTTGGGGTAACGTCCTCTAGTTATTGTAAATACAACCGCATGGGATGCATGTACCCCGCAGCTAGCTAATCGTGCTCCTGTAGGAAAGATTATGTTTTACCCCAGGTTTGATCATGATCTATCTCATAGAGATCTACCTCATGAGACCAGATTGTTTACTGAGAAGATTCTATTGGTAATTTAAAGTGGCCGACGGGCCAGCAAATGGAGAAGCAAAACAATGCTAAATACAAAAGTGCTCTCTCTACATTAACCAAATTGTATTGTAAAACAAAACCAACAAAACCCGTATCTACCTATGTCAGCCTTGCTCCGTTGTTCGGTAGCCACGGGAAAAAGAGAATCCTGTCTAATGTGAATAATTGTTTTTCAGTGACAAGGCGAGCAGAAAAGGAACAAATGGGGGTGTGTGTCGACATCCTAGAGCACGATATGTACCGACATTTTAGCACTCGAGAGGACTCCGGAGTAAATGTAAATACCAATATCTATGAATGGCTCTGTGCGCACCTACGCCATTGAGCTTCTTGAAGATTCCACAGACATACAATATTACGACATTTATTGTCAAATACACATTGTCATTTTGATCAGCTCGAGCTCGAGCGCTCCCTTGGCCTGAGACCTTTAGGCGACCAATCGCAAATATTCGTGGAATCTCATTTTTCATTTTTAAAAAGCAGAGTTCTAAACTATCGGGCAGTTTAGGCCAGGGAAGAACGTAATGAGACTGATATGATCTGGTCTGTGCTGATAAATACCTAACCATTGGCGCCTTGTTCGCTGGTTACACTCACCCGGTTGCAAAACATATGGATTTCGATGTGCACATTTAGGCGAAAGGTGGGGTATTACAGTAATTCGTAGATGCTTCATGCATACATGAACCGCACGACTTGAAGAATTACTCTACAATGCCTGATCATGAGTCCTACGTACTCCCCGTACTATTCCTAGACTTGAGATTTTGATACAACGCCCTTTTTTCCTTCGCCACGTTGGACTGGTAAAATAAGATCTAAACTTGTGGAAACTCTCATCCAAAGAATGGGGTCTCGGGCAACTATTGCTTGATATACCCACCACTCCTTTCATTTTTGACTCGCCTAGCGTGCAAATGGCAAAGGTCAAGAGTTGGTGGCAAAGTTAGTGCTGGTAATGATATCTCCACACTCGGACAGGCGCCGTAACCACGATATTTCCCACGCCCCAATTGAATTGTCATGAAGTGTACCTGTCATTTTCAAAAATGCTGTCAATTGAGGTTCCAAAAGCGGGGTATGGACAACCTCCTATTCCGGTAAAGGGAAACATTGACCTTAAAGGGTTAGGTGTGTAGTTTATTTGTTGTGGTGCCTTCTTCTGTTTTTCTGCTGAGACATCCAACAATATCAGCATGTAGTCACGATACCAGTCCTTCCTTTTGCGCTTACTGGAAGCGCACGGGTTGGCCCTCGCGCTGCATATTCTACCCCGCTTCGATTCTCTCCGGGTCTAATACGGTAGCCGCTACGCGAGGAGAATATTTGGTTTAATAAACCTCCTCGTCAGGCCTGCAAATCAAGAAGCGGGGAGAGGCACAACGTGCGAGGTTCAACTTTTCGGTAGGTTCGCGGGCTCGAGTCTGAGAATATAATTATTGATATTCACGGCTAATCGTTGGAGGGAGAAGGAAGAAAAGCAAAAAAGTGGGGAATGATATATTGTTGTCATTTTCAGAAAGAGTGTCAAGCTTGTGTGGAATTAATGGTGAATGAAAGAGGGGTACAACATGAACAGCTTAGTTAAAGATATTATAGGTGCTACCGGACACGGCAATTGAATTAATATTAGACGTTTTGCGTTTTAGCTATTGGCTCAACCCCACATCATGCACAAGAGGTAGTATTCTCTTGTTGTCTCAGCGCCTGGAAGAGCTAATTTGTTGCGTTTTTGGTACCCACTTCAAGACAACCAACAGCTTTACCGTGAGTCTAGATCTGGCTGCTTGCCGAGTGCAGGTTATTTGCTCTATATCCCCGCATTTCTTTTTGGATACATACTTCCTCAAGGCCTTAGGATTGGACACCTGCGAACCTTAGTTAAGTTTCTGCACCAAGGCAAATGATCAATAATAAGGGAATAATAACCAGATATCGAAAAAGAAGCTTCCTTACCTATATCATCCTTGGCTGGAGCTTAAAACCCTTTGCTTGCTGGCTGTGCTGTACATATATATTTAATCACTCGGCCGTTCCTTCCGCTCTGTTCCCGGTGAGGTTTCCGTATACCAACAAGACCAAGTCAAACAGAAAACCAAGCTTTCCTATCCCCAAAGGATCAAGTTATGAGATACATCACCGTCAAGACCGCAAAGAAGCCCTACAAGACCCGCAAGCTTCTGACAGAGACACAGCGGGAATTCATTCGCACTTCCCTGGAAGCAGGCCTGCTCCCGGAAAAGATCGCACCAACGGTCCCTTGCGCGTATATAACGGTGAGGCGGATACAACGGAACATTTGTCTGTTTGGCAAAACGACTGCGCCACGATCATTGAAACAAGGACGACCACGTACGCTGAACGATGAAATGCTTGATGTAACTGCTGCCCTGCCTACCACTAGCCAACTCAGCCATATAGATTAATAGTACCTAGAGTGGTTTCTACTATTATATATATATATTTATATATAGAACACATATATATGACTTAATAATTTCATTGCTAATTCCTTTTTGTGGGGCGGAATTGTTTAGGGCTTACGAAGTTTCCTTGAAGAGAAACCCACGGCGTGTCTAGTTGAAATGAGGAGTTTCTTGTATAACGAGTATAACGTCCGAGTATGCAACTCGACGGTTTCTCGGGTATTGTCTGAACAAAAGTGGGCGAAAAAGAAAGTAAGTTTTTTGGTCGTTCTTTTCTAAATCGTCGATCCCATGAACGGCTATTCACAGTTTCCCTTTCCCCCACTTATTCCTCGGAGGCGATCAATAAGGGTAAAACGTTGTAAATGGCGGTTGCGATGGAACGTTGGTCTAAAGTAGCTGCGAACCTTGAGGGCTTCCATGTTTCAGAAGATCTTTTTGATGTTTTGTAAAGGTACGAGGCTGACTGGCTTGACTGACGTTTCCACAGCTCATATGGGCAAGGAATAAGTAGTATCGAGGTGAGGTTAGAATACCTAGGTTGCCTAGTATAGTTGGCGTATATTGATCGGGGCCCCGGGGAGGATGTTTGGTTTCGCATGTAGATAATAGTAACTAGCCCAGTACCCATCAAATAATAACACACATCAACATAGCAATAACATTCAGTCATATTAAAGACGTTACTCACGGGCCCTTTTCTTATCGGATCCGCTCCTAGGGCTACGGACATAAAATACTAATCAGCCAGATAACAGTAACACATGGCCCGTTAGCAAGGTTGATCGATGGACTACTGTGTAGTCCCGTGGTTATGTAGTTGAACGACGTATTATTTCTAGGGTTTCGCGTGTGGGGGTCCGGGGGTATCTGTACCAACTACCAAAGAAAGACTTTGTTCACGTGCATGTTGGCAGTTGCATTCTTATGATCTCCACTCTCCAGATAACATTGCAAGGTCCAGTGTAGATAGTAGAGTATGTCTGCGCGTACAAACGGTTGATCATGATAATTAGTCCTTCATGAAATTAATCACCCGTATGCAACTGATATGATTGCAATAGTAAGACGAACATTACTGAACAGAAGAAACAGAACGGATACGTATCGGATATTCCCATTATTATCACTCCACAAATCAGGGTGTTTCAGAGCTCCACCACCCTTTGTCAAAGATATACCTATATTTCCGAAGCTTCGAAGCTCGAGACGGCCTCCGGACACCGACTATCTCGGCCAATGTATCTTCCGGAGCCAAAGCCGTTGGTCGGGCAGAGGTACGAACCAAACGTCCCCATGCCCCATGCATGCCCCACACCAACACAACCAGCAAGGGCATATCCTTACGAACATGCAGTAACCTTCTGGATAAACTTCTAGCTACAGCTGTTGCTGGGGGTGGAGAGGGGGATGATCAAATAAGGTTCTTCCGCTGTGATAGCCGAGACAATACATGAAGGACATCGTTTCGTCCGCGATCCGCTGGGGCGACAGGAACGGAGGAGAGAATGGAAATGGTCTAGAATCAGACTAGGAAGGGTAACACACAATCCCCCAATTAGTTACCCCGGATCTTGTAGACTCGCTCGACTAGCGTTACACAGGGGTAGTGAAATTGGCCGACAAAGGGACTTAACAACCACGTTAAGCCCTGCATCGACTCAGGAACCAAAAATCGCAGGTGAGATGACATCATATCATCGACTAGTATGTACTCTTCATTTTGTATCCATCTCTCATCACACGCATGTCAACGGTCGACAGCCCACACGCAATTTAAGCCGGGGTCTTCTTCGTTATTGCTTGTCGAGGTAGAGCTAGACAGGGTAGCTAGGTACGTAGGAGGTAGAATGGCCATTGCAACTCGGCCCGGCCACAGCTAGCAGCTTATCAGCTCGGGAGGGGGCTAAAACAACAATAATCCACGTACCATAGGTACATGTAGTTATCCCCTCGACTGGATCTCCGATAATTAAATGCCGGCACCCATAATCACCCATCCATCACTAGCAGTATGGTACTATATTTTACTATAGTAACTGTATTAGTTAGTCAGTATTCGAAACACCACCACCAAACAGTACCCTAATCATGGAACCACGCACAACCACAGCCCACTTGTTGTGGGGACACTCAGCTGAAGTTGACCACACTTACAAGCTCGAGTGATTACCCATGAAAACTGGTCATATCATATATACTCAAACTATAGAGTCAGTAGCCTTTGATTATTCGAATATCGGCCATTTGCCATTAACTTTGGTCCCGGCCCTTCGAAACCGGTATTCAACCCGCAAGCTCCAGCGCCATCCCCTGACCATGGCAAAATCAAACTAAAACAGGGCTGGAACTGATTGATACCATTTTACAATCGCGGCGCAGTATGAGGCAAGTGGTAATAATGTGACGATGTTGGCGGCGGCATCACTGGGTATGACTGTTATAACGCCCGCGGTAGGGCTCTGCGCGCGGGATTTACATGATCTGTGATGCGAGCTTTTACAGTATTGGCTTGTACGAATAATAAAAGCTCGGAAACTATACACCTCTATATGTCTGGAAATATTCTAAATCGATACAGGGTTAGTGAGTATATACAAAATATACATCTGTTAAAAGTTTACAATCATTGAAGTTTACTTACATCTCTCCCCGGCATGTCATGCAATGTAAAATGGCTTCGAGTGATTGCGCATGAATGATTTGCGCCACATACATGTATCTATACGTACATGTAGTTCCCCTCGCGCACAGACAGTCAAATAGTTGTACAACGGCTTATGTATCAACGATGGGGGTGCTGCATGCATTGGCGATTACCGTGGGACCCCGGCTACTCTTGATCCTAGGGATTCATATTATACTCATGACCATGGGGCATCACTCGCATGCCCTGTTAAGTTACTTACTAGCACTGCTTAGTTAGCCAACAGAGAATACAGTCGAGGGTAAATCATGATAGTTACATGTACTGAGCTAGACAGAGAGCAACGTATCCCGGTCAATGTGCAACAGCTCAAAGCACCCAGGAATGGACTGGAAATAGTCTCCTTCTCATTTGTTATTGCCGCGTAATACCAATTGCCCCTCCCTAGCTTCGGAAAACTGTGTTGAACAGTAGAAGTTCCTTTCTGAAGGCTTTATATGAGGCATGGAGCTGCACATACATAAATAAGTGGGCATCTCCAACCCATAAACCTTAATCTCACCACGACCCCAGCCAGCCAACGCACCCCATCCATACCTAAACCCATATCTCCCAAACAAACGGTTTCTCTGAAGCTTCCAGAATAAATATCACTGCTTCACCACCCATATCTAAAGCATCCAAGGCGAACAGATCCAAGAGACAAAAATCGATACAAGTTAACACAGCACTCCGGCCAACTACAATTCTATATTCCTGCTAGTTACCGCAAGCGGTAATCCTCAAACAGACTCGCCTACTTTCAAAAGAAAAATCGATCAACCATGCCTGCACCTCCAAAAATCTCGCTTTGCTGTGTCTGCTCATCTGGTTATGGGCTCGACAAACCGGGATGCAGTGTATGCCGACATACACGATGCGGGAACTGCGCAACACAGGGAATTTGGACATGCTGCAATTGCCAATCCCAGTACGGCTTAGGAACGCGCGAATGTTCTGTCTGCCTCCACCATCGTTGCGATAGATGCAAACGCGGCTAGTCATACATGGCGATCAAGAACAAAAAAATATAAAAAGACACAACGCTTCCACCGGCGAGGCGAATATCTGTTTGTTAGTTGCAGTCCTGGCAGGTCTAGCTGACTGACGCGTGTGACGTACGTAACGTCCGTACGATTTTACGGGTGTGAATGTTTCCGCCGGGCGGGAACTATTTTCCTTCCCTTTCCTTTGATGAGACGAAACCTGGGTGGCTGTATTTTTCCCATTTGTTTTTCCTTTTTCGTTTGCGTTTTGTTTTGTTCTAGAAACCTGATCAGGATCGATCGCGTCATCCCGGTCAGTGGGTGGTGGGGTGTGAAAGGCGTTATTTTGTACCTTAGAGTGTCAATTGATAGAGAGATGAGTAGAATGTTTCATGTAGCGCAAATGTAACGTACATATATTCAGTACAATTCCAGGATGTTCCTAGCTGCCGAGGCAAGCCATCGAGGGCCGAGGGCCCGAATATAAACCACTCTTGATTATCGTCGGACCATTGCTAGACATTGAGTTATAAAGGGTATTAAAGGCCCCGTACGATTTAGCTAGCTCCGCCGGAACAATGGAAGTTTTTATTTTTCCTCGAGAGCCCGGGCATAGCCTGCAGCTTGCAGATGTAACCCGGATGTTTCAACTTCAACATCTTCATTTTCGCTCGATAAACACGTGTTTAGTGCTGGGTAAGGACTTACTACTATTATTTAGAACTTTGTAGGTACTGCCTTTGTTCAAACATCATCCGACGTTGGTGTTGGTCACGCCGCCCGTTCACGCAGCTGAGCCTCCTTTACCGGTTCCACATGTAATCAATCAAATTCCTTGGCACCAGCCTCAATCAACGTACAGAACTAGTACGTCCAACTTGATAGCAATAATAAGGAATTAGTACTAGCATATGCACACGTACGAACGTGATACGTAAATATTTAATGGTCCTGTCGAGTGATGGCCTATGAACATGCATGTAGCAACCAATACATAGATGGTTCGGCCCTACTCGACCAGGGCACCAGATCCGTTCGGTCTGTGGTTGAGAGTATGTGTAAGCCCATAAAAAGTCAAATCAGTAGAGGGCTGTGTGAACTGAGGGCTTGTTGAAAGAAGCAATAAATGAATCACCCACGATATCAATCTATGTTCCTCTCCTTATAACTATTTATTGGCGCCTGATGTGTCAATCTACATTTCTCTGTCTCGCCGCCGGCGCCATGAGCCAAACCCATATAATCCCTGTATTTTTTCGATTCCTTTTTACTTTTGTGGTTTCATGTATGTAGACTTGGTTACTAAATAGGGGTATGCAATATTAGCACAAAGATCTACTCTAGAGACAGGCCGCGAATTTGACCGTGCCATCTGTCTAAGGGATCGTGCATTACTCACATACCGGATTTAGGGAGTACGAGCTATCGAATCCTGCCTTTCTGTAAGGAAGTCCGGTGCTGAAAAGATGATTCCATGAACATCTTCTTCAGCAAAGACACAAGGTAGTATCCAGTTCAACTGCTAGCTGTACTGCCATGAGAATGGTACCAGTGCCTCGGGCCCAGTATGCCCCGCAGGGCTGGCTTACAGGCAGGTGATCACTTCGAGGCCTTTGTGGCTGGGGCGGAGGTGTATCGTAACTGAGTGTTGAGTTTCCTGGAGATGGAATCATATTAACTGGTAGGATATTGATGATGCAAGAAGGTGGGGAAATCGGGACAACAGCAAGATCGTGATGACGTGAGCAGCTCAGGCAACGCGTACAATAGCGGCGTCTTGGATTTGCTTTTCGGCATCCTAAAAATGATATTATATTATACTTTAAGTAAATACATGTAATCGAGATACCAATCCATTTGGTTTTAATTTGCAAACTGATAGATGACATGAATCACTCAATAATAGTTGTGATAATTGAGTGAGATGTACTTGGGATTCGCTGCTTGGAATCTCGCGAGGCAGCATTTATATTTTATCGATACTTCTAGATCTGATTTGCGAGTTCTGTACTGCATCGGCTGCAATCAACGGATGCTGCATATGTACTCTAGTAGAGTACCTACTCGAGTACTCTATGCATGTTTCTGCCCCCGCCCTCGAGAATCAAAAGTAAAACTGTTCTTATGCAGGGACGGAGTGTCTTAGCCGCATGTATTTCATGTTTCACTGGTAAGTGGGGTGGATTTCGTTAGAGAAGTCTCGGGCCTGTCGGCTTCCGATAAGAGCAAAATAAACTACATACTGTACATACAATGTAGTGGCATGATCGAGTTATGTATTGAAAAAAGTTTTTTCACAGACAGTCTTAAGCCCCCACACGTGGGTAATCAATGAGTTTCTTTTTATCATGCTGCATATTAGCCGTGGGGGACATGTTCAGGTGATGGATTACATGTGCTCCTTAAGTACTTGTACGTATATGTATATGTATGTATTCATTTCATGGAATCGCACTCGGTGCTGTAGTATCACTTCGCCACCAGCTGACCACGTATATGTAGTTTATTAATCAGAGATTCAGTACAGTACGTACATAACCGAGGATCAAATTATCATATTCTTCGAAGCATTGACCCAGTATTGATGGGTTTGTAGCTCTAGCTCTTAAGGGGTCGGTGAAGTTTATGTATACATACTTTATTTACTATATGTATATATGCTCTCTTAATGCGTCCGCGGCAGAACTTAAGATAATAAAATATATCTATGCACTGTATGTACGATGATTGACCGTGTGGTACGAAAAATCTAGGCTTATATATGTATTTTATTTCGATATTAGTGAATGCGAGTGCTCCATCGTGACGCACTCGAACTACTGAAATCGAATTAATATACCTAGCAACGTAGAGTAGCTGGATCTCAATTATGCAGAATACTCCCAAACCGACTAGTCCTCACCAATTGCAAGGGGCCGACTTGAAAGGGAAAGTTAATATACCTACATATGTATTCACAAGGTCGGGCCGACCCGCGGAGAGTGCCCATTGATCATTAATGTTAACTTAGACCACTAGTAGCTGCACATAAATATAAATATTCCTTATATGGCAGGTTTAGTCCACTTGCACCTGCATCACGGCTAGAAGCGATCGCTGAGATAGCACGAGATCAAGGGGGCGACTCGACCGGGTGATATCTCGTGATTAAGAAGATCCAAACCTGCACACCTTAGATTATTAGTTAAAAAGACATTAGATTGAAACAGATTAAGGTGGCGATGGCGAAGCACACGCAGAAATTGTTGAAAGAGATGCGTCTTACTAATCTCGTTCTCATATCTCCTACATTGACATGGTTGGAACTTTTAGTTCTAGTTGCTGACGAACATGCATGGCTCGCTAACTCGCGGAGGGGGGGTTGCTCAATGAACCATCTTATTCAGGTGCGATCGGCTATTACAAAGAGCAAAAACCGGCCAAAATAAAAATCCCTTGAGAAGAACTCCCTATCATGGATGATGAGCTATCTTATATATAGCCTCCCGGTAATGGCACTTTAGTTGAAGTAGGTTACATCTGTATATAACCTAGCGAAAACCCTTTTCACGATTGTGTAACGTGCGTTGCCGAATTTACGTTCTGTTCTTTTAACAGTCACGTATCTTTCTTCATTTGAAGGCATGTTCCGCCTAGGTTGTGGATACATGTATTTCTCAATAAACTTTGGGTAGGCATCGAAGCCCCAAACACTTTCCCAAGTGAAGGCTCCTCGGGAACGTTCCTAAGTAAATACTATTTCTGGCTAACCTAGAAAAATTGTGGTCCATATCTCTAGGAATAATTAGTTACTACTAAAAGAATACCGAATGCGCATGCAATTGGTGTCCTATGTCCCTTGGTTAGTCTTGGATACAATGTTTAAAGGAGGCCATACTATACCTAGTGTGCCAGGGCATCACATGTCATCAGGGGGTTGGTTAATCATGATAGTATATCGATCAATGAATTTATCCTCCCTTCAACGTTAGTCTTCGCGAATACTAGCTCCTTCAGAAATGTACCCCCTCTGTGGGGGGTTGGTTGCCTTACCAATTAATTATAAGGAGTCTTTTTTGGAAGAGGAACGCTTCTACGGTGATCAAGCACAGAAGAAGTGCCAACATTGCATACCCAGAGCGCTCTGTATAAGGACAATGAGTCCTGCAGATATAAACCCAATAGTACGGAGGCGGAGGCTATGTATTGTGGGGTGACAAAAGTTCTCGCGATTTTCGCATAGCAACCAGCAGAAATTACCCAAAAGACCAATCCACAAAGTCGGCAATCGGGATTCATACCTAGGAGATATGTTCTATCAATCCTCAGATCTCTGATCATGTTTATATCTTCATTATATCTTTTGTGGTCGTGGAGTTATAATCGTTTTATGACCCGTCCTCGTACAGATCTGCTGAATCACGAGAACTTTTGTCACCCAACAATACTTATATAAGCCGTGTGATGAATCGATATAGATGGCTTTAACATTATTTTGAGTTTTTAGGGGCCGTTTACATAGCTGAATTATGAGTCCTTTAGATGAAACCTTATTTTCAATCACCTGCTATATAAAAACGGCTCCACCCCACACCCTACCAATACGACCGCCAAAAGTCTATCTCTAAGCTATTGTCACTCATCCCCACCATAAAATCACCTTTGACATCACCACCGGCGCAGAATATGCATCAAAATGTGGTAGTTTCATTAATACTGAATCGATTATGGTTGATTAAAGCTGGTGCTTAGACAATACATCGCCAATACATCTCCACCACTGTCAGCAACAGCAGCGGCAGCAGTAGCAGTACTACATAATAGCAGACTTGAGCGCTTATATATAGACTCATCTCGAACACACTCGCCTATCAATCGTTCCGTTTCAAATATTCCAACTTGTGGTACTTAGGAGGTATGTACTATCGGGGAACCAAACACCCAGACTTATCCGGAAAGTAGATACATAATTTTATTATACCTCACCTCATTCTAATCCCACATTGACAGATGCTGGGAAAGATATTATATCTTTTCAACGTCTTCTTCCGTAAGTGGAGCTTGGTCTATGAGTCGGACGAGCTTGAGCTGATGGTCCCGCCTGTCTCGAGCCAGCGTTTTGTGGATCACACCCGCCCAACTCTAATTCTGACCTATAAACGTCTTCAAAACTAACAAGCCCGGGCGTTCAAAGCTCCGAGACGGTTTCTTTCGGATATGCTTGAGTAACCCCGGAAAATCTCCAAATCCAATGACCGGATGTATATTTGCGCTTGGTCAGGCAAAGAACTATACCAGAGTCTATTTAAATAGTTTAGGGAGACTCAAAACTAAAGCCATATCCATTGGTAAAAAACATCTTGTTCGCTTCCATGGCCAAGGTAGAATGAGCATTTGTGATGGCGAAAGAATACACGATAATGCTACTTGCTCTATACTCTACAGGGGCACCTGTCGTGTCCCCCACTCTCGGCGATCAAGCTCGTCGCGCGCGTTTTGCGCGAATTTGGTATTTTATCTTGGCTTTTAGTTTTAAATGTGGGGAAGGCGGGAGGTCGGGATATCGGGGCAAATTACTACGAGAATGAGGGTTTTGGTACGTACTGAAAGATGATTGGTTGAGGTATAGATTATTCTGGTTTACATGTGTTGGCAAGTTCGAAAAACCAAAACCGTTAAGGCCTCGAGTGATATTTCGTGTTTAACCCCTGACAAGCATTAAGGACTGACATCTTGAAGTAGAGGCCTAGGTTCTCGAAAATTCAAAATGGTGGGCAGTGGTAATCTCTTATTCTCAATTTCTATCCTTTAGGAAGATCGTCGGGACTCAATGTCCGCATGAACAAAAAACACATATCGATGAATCATTGCTTCATCAACTTCGAGATCCACTCTGGAACCGCCGGCTTCTTCCCCCACCTCTCCTCCCAAGTACCCTTCACACTTGTTTCTCCAGATGTTACCGGCAATGCGAACACCGCCGAGACCAACCATGTCTCTCCTTCTTTTGGCAAATTTATCGCCTCTAGCTGCGGCAAAACCGTCCTTGCTGCAATTAAATTGGCGTTCGCATCTACATTCATCACAACTCCCTTCCTCTGATCACCCGGTGACATATCCAAGATACCCACTGCTCCCGCAGAAGAAACTGCAAACGCTTCACCCAGCTTTGTGAACCTCCCTTCATCCCCATCAAATGTATCCAATGTCCTTCCATCTTTGCTGGTCTGCCCGTATATTGCGAATGCCCCCTCTACAGACATGAGCTTTCGGTTTGGATTCTTAAGTTTATGAACTCTCAAATGCCAGTTCTCAGACACACTCTCGACGGGCGGTATCAGCCATGTTTCAACCTCCACATCAGGCCATGGGAACCATTTTGATATGAGCACTGGTTCACCATCTACCGACTCAATTCGTGCCCCAGGTGCCAGTCGTCTCGTCTTCCAGGTTTCCCCTTCATCTTCAGAAAACGCAATCATGCTATCGGCTGCGTGTTGGTCAAGGCCAAATGATCCGGTGGGCACACTGAATCCAAATGCCGAAGAGTAGGCGAATTTTCCATATTTGGCTTGCGTGGCTTTAAGTGGGTAATGACACGCCTGGCCTGATGACAACAGAAAAGTGTGTCCACCCAGATGGCTGATAATATGACTTGGGTGATGTAACGCAACGGTTTTGGGGAGCTGTGAAGACGGATATGGTAGCTCTTCTGCTTTCCAGAAAGGGTGTGATTCTGAGAGTGCGAGTGGGATGAATGCTTTCATTCCCCAATATGGGGATCCAGGGGAGTTATAATTCTCGGTGAAGTACATGTTTGGGTAGCAATAACCTATTGAAAGGGTTCCGTCGGAGGAGAAAATGTCCTGGCGAGACCACCAACGAAGGTTTCGGAGGAGAATGCCCTTGATGACACCCCAGGATAGAGGAGCGGGAAGTTCAACGTCTGCAAAAGCTACAGCACCCCAGAAGGCGGCCATGGCCATTCGATAGGTTGTGCTACGACCAAAGGGAATTGCACGCCCTTCGTTATCGTCAGAATAGTGAAATTCCAGTCGTTGAGGATATTGAGGTATTACCTTCTTCATCAAACATGTGCACAAAGTCGGCAGCATATTTTCGGGCCCTGTCCCTGTACTCTTCAGATCTCGCTGGGTCCGTATCTGCGGCTAGCTTTGAGTAAACCAGTTGAGCATACTGGATCGCAAATGATCCAGAATAATAATCAAGCTGCCGGACCCCCTCAGGTCCGTCGCGGGACCATCCATCACCGAGATAGAAGGTATCCAGATGGTCCAGATCAGCCTTCAACCTCTCTGGATCAAATGGTGCCCCCACCTTTGAAAGTCCTAGATTTGCAAATACTCTAAACCAAAGCCTAACGCCAAAATATTTAACCATCATTGCCAAGACACTTGGCCATTTATTAGGAAATCCTTACCAATTCGTGTTTGGCATCTATTCCCAACCCAGTCAGCACTTTATGCTAAAACTAAAGTTTTATAGTTTGTTCATACCTCTTTATCATTGATTGCATTCAGCCACTTCACCACGTTCTCCTTCTCCCTCGTTCCCAACGGCTCCCACATTGCCCCCGGCGCAACTGCTAACGAAAACCCAATGGGAGACATCTCAACCATTCTCTGGTCTCTCGCTCTCGTTTCTCCCCAATACTCATTACTCTCTGGATCAGTTCCAGCAGCTAATCCATGAACCCACCTCTCTGTACCTTCGTATTTACCACCGCCAGCAAGAAGAGATGCGAGCCCCCAAAGGGGGCGCGCAAATCCTTCAAGTTGTGCGGCAGTCTCATCGTAATGTGTGGCAGTGCTGCCAATCTTGATACGGGCACCATTGGGAGATGTATGAGGTGCTAAAGGGTTAAGAAAGGACTCGAGAGCATTGTGGAGGTCCGCACGGGTTTTCAACGGATTTGTAGAGAATGGATGTGGTGAAAGGGGCATTGTATTTGGCACGTTGATATCTCTCCTGAAATAAGTCAAAAGGTTCTGAAGTTCTCTCTGGTGTTAATTTTCTCTGATGAAATTGGGTCCGTGGAGGCTAGATGCTACGGAAAAGACAAAAGACCAGAACAGCTTTCTGTAGCAAAACAGCTAACCATGAGCATCTCTATATCCACAGCCCAGTACTAGCACTGAAGCTAGCGTAACCCTAACCCACTCTCAAGTACTGCGGGGAACCAATGATCATCTCGGCTAAATCGTAGCATTGTGCCTGACAGCTTAACTCGATGAACTATCACGACATTATTAACCGAAAATGCGGAGAAACGTCTTGGTATCTTCTCGGCATAATTGCGCTTCGATCGTGAGCATGAGCTGAGTACGACCGAACTCTGGGTAAAACAATATTCGGTCTCTCAGGAACAAAACAGCGAGGTACTTGGGGAATTAGCCCCTGCAGCTCCATCTTGAGATAGCATTGCCGCGGCGCATCTCGGAAAAACTAATTGATGAAGAGGAGGTAGTGGTGCGTTCTAGCCAAGAATGTCGAATATGCCTAGGGTCTGGCGGGGTTGGTTAGTTAGATAAGTAGGGCCCTGGATGCCCCTCAGCTCAGGAAGCTTAACATTGACATCACCTCATCCATAGCTATAGTTTACTCCTAAGAATACTCAATAATGGCACCTGTCAACGTTTTGATGGTCTGTATCTCTCTATGGGAAGGCACTGAGTCAATTGCTGATGGTTTATATATGAATAGGTTGGTACTGGAGAGTACACCACTGGCTGGACCGGAAGTGGTGGATCTCAGTCTGATAAGAAGGTATAACCCCTACCCTACATCGACAAACAAACAAAACTAATCGCAATAGGTCGGTGTTGTCGGATTAACTCTTTTCGACCTCCGCCGTCGCGGAAAGGTTGGCGAACTCAGCATGGTTGGAACCAATGGTTCCAAGTTTCCCGCCATCAGTATGTTCTCCCGTTGATGTCCTTTACTCATTCTAGAATTTCACCAACAAATATTAGAAAACCATCTCGAGAAGAACATTAGAGACGTGTATAACGGACTTGATGTCTCCTTCACTGCTTTCCCCGCCGGTGAAACCCGTGACCCAGAAGCCTACAAAGCCGCCATTGACGCGCTGAAGCCCGGTGATGCCATTACAATCTTCACGCCCGACACAACACATTTCCCTATCGCTTTATACGCCATCCAAAGGGGAATTCACGTACTGGTTACTAAACCGGCTACGAAGACTTTAGAAGACCACCTTAAGCTTATCGAGGAGGCGGATAAGCATGGTGTATTCGTCTATGTTGAGCACCACAAAAGATTCGACCCAGCCTACTCAGATGCCCGTGCCAAAGCAAAGACTCTGGGCGACTTCAACTACTTTTACTCCTACATGTCACAGCCCAAATCCCAGCTCGAGACATTCAAGGCATGGGCCGGTGTCGACTCTGACATCTCCTACTATCTCAACTCGCATCACATTGATATCAACGCATCCATGATTCCAGACTGGACACCCTTCAAGGTGACCGCTTCCGGTTCCCGCGGTACCGCCACTGATCTCGGGTGCGCCGAGGGTACAGAGGACACAATCACCCTTCTTGTGGACTGGAGGAAGAACAGTGACAAGTCAAAGGTGGGAACAGGTGTTTACACAGCTTCTTGGACGGCGCCGCAGAAGGCCGGAGTACACTCAAATCAGTACTTCCATTACATGGCTAGTCAGGGTGAGATTAGAGCAAACCAGGCCAAGAGAGGTTATGATGTCACTGATGACAACCTTGGTGCTTTGGCGTGGTATAATCCGTAAGAACTCCCCTAACCCTATTATCTCAAACAACATTGTTCGTTTGCTAAAGTACGTCAATGAATTCAGCTTCTACATGCGCTACGCCCCTGATGAAGAGGGCAACTTCGGCGGTCAAACTGGTTATGGATATATCTCATTCGAGAAATTTGTAGACGCATGCAACCTATTGAATGAAAAGAAAATCACTCTTGAGGCGCTCGATAAGCGTGGTCTTCCAACACTAAGGAACACAGTGGTTACGGGAGCCATCCTCCATGCAGGAAGAGTCTCGCTAGATGAGAAGCGAAGTGTGGAGATCAAAGAGGTGGGAGGTGTTTTGACGCTAGTATAAAGTATTACTACTTCTGTACTCTACTGTTCAAATAAATTTCTTGGCCTTCTATCTTGTTCTAGATATCATTACCATTTTCTTTCTTTTTTTGAGGAGCAAGCCTCATTTAATTGTGATCACATGGAGGGCTTAATAAGCCACATCATACACAACGGGAAAATTCACCCCGAAAATTTCGAAATGCCTAGCTTATTGGCCAATCTTGTCACGGACCGATACCTGAGACAAGACAAGATCAAGGCACAAATCAGCCGGGATTAAGCTTTTAACCGGGAAATATAGTGGCGCACCTTAGATACTCACCGTTACTTGGCGGCGTAGATGTAGCTACGTATTCTGGATACAAGCATTCAGTTGCCGTTCTTGCCACCGCGCTACTGTGGTTACAAATCTATTCTCATATAAAGTGAGATAGATTGAGAGCTTGGTGTGAGTAAAAACTAGTGAGTCGGTCAGCAAGTTAGGTAGGATCTCTCACCTGATATGGGAGGGCAGATAGATGCCAGATGGGTCAGCGGAAGGCAAACCTAAATACCAGGGCCAAGCACTGAATAATATATTATATGCAGACGTAATATCGATCACGGACTAGTACTGTATTATGGGGATGGATCGGACGATGAAAATGGGAGCAGCAATTTATCCTTGGGGGCTGATATATAAAACCAATCCACTGGGAATTTTTCCCGGGAAGGTAAGTATTGCATTTATTTAGACGCATGTGTGTGCAGGTCTAGGAGGTGGTGCTAAGGTAGTACTCGGGGCAGGTAAGAAGAACCTGAAAATGACTTTTGATGGTAACAACCTCTGATTCGCGGCTGGCGAAAAGCTACACCAAATTGAGCACCTGCTTGCAGCTTGCATTTTCAGGTTCTTATTGCCTGCCCCGAGTACTTTGAAGGTGTATCGAGTAGTAATACGTATAGCATGTGATGTGAGAGACCAAGAAGCTCTAAGTAGGTGGGTAGGTTTTTGTGGAGGGATTGTAAGCTCTGAAGCACGATGACCATGGTATTGGCAGAAGATTTCGAAAAATGAGTTTAAGAAGCTAGATTTTACTCGCATAATATACTAGAGCTAGAGGCCTCCCGCTTGGCGTTACCCCGAAATTGCAAATCATTTTTTGTGCAGTCAAATACCAACTCGCAATTGAAAACAGCTTCAGTCTTTGAGCAACGTCATTATCGTACGCATGAAAATACTCTCCTTATCTCAGGGGGAAAATGGGCTCCTGTTAAACCAATGAAAGTACGATACTGTAGTATTGGCATTCTAGCTCAGTTTTGAGTAATCTAAACTACATGCGCTTAGTGCTCTCAGAAAGCTGGAACTAGGGCTTATAGCTAGCCGAAGCTCACAACATACATGAGTACATGTATTGAAAACTGGGTTAGTCGTGCCCGACATAGACTAAGCTAGACTTGTAATCTTCATGATTGTCACTTTTCCATGGCCAGCAAGCATCACTCAAATGAACTCAAGGCTTTCCATGGACGATATTTGGATTACGCCAATTAATTACTTTGATACATTTTTTTTATCCACAGAAACATCAAACCGGCCCCCCACTCTCAAAACAAGAGCTAGCTATCATAAAAACAGAAAAGATTCGTTTCCACACTAGTACATTCCCTTAGTTCCTGGACTCGACATGAGTAGCAACAGGAAATTTCTCGTCATCAAGGTTTGAACCACCCTGAGGCAGGCCTCTCTCCGAGTCTGAAATCTTGGTATCGACAACGCCAAAGATTTCGTCCATCTTCTCGAGTGAGACGCCCTTGGTTTCTGGCACGAAGAACCATGTAAAGAAGAACATAGAGAAACAGAAAGACCCATAGATGAAATAAGTTCCGTACCCTCCCTCTCCAACAGTAGCCATCATGTTAGGCGTAGCTCTCGCAACAACAAAGTTGAACAACCATTGGGTAGCTGCTCCCAAAGCGACATTGGTAGCTCTAAGACGGGCGGTAGGGATTTCGGAGACATAGATCCAACAGACTGGACCCCACCCAAACTGGAAGAAGGAAGCGAACAAGAAAATCATGACGATAGCGATGTAACCGGCTGGGGGAACATCGGCGCCCACCTGTGGGGGGTCGAAGCGGACGTAAAAGCCGATATAGAACATGCAGGCACCCTGAGCGATGGATGTCCAGAGGAGCGATTTACGACGACCGAGGGAGTCCGCAACAAAGAGAAGGAAGATGGAGCAAGTGATCATTTTGACAATTCCATAGATACCGGTAGCGAAGAGACCAGTTTCAGTTCCTGAGAGACCGAGGTTGGCCTGGTTTTTGTTAGCACGTTGGACAAGCTAAAAGGAATCAAAGTGCTTACAAAGATCTGGGGAGCATAGTAGTTGATAGCGTTGGTACCAGTCATCTGTTGGCAAACCATGAGACCGATAGAAAGCAGAGCTCTGTTACGGTTTCCTCGGATGGTCCACATCTCTTTCTGCAGATCCCAGAAGCCACTCCCACCTGTTAAGCGTGCCTCAAACTCGAGCTGTTCCCTCATTTCGTGGAGTTCTGCCTGGACATATTCGTGATCACCTGGAAGGTTACGGACACGACCAAGAGTGGCGGTAGCTTTCTCCCATTGATCGGTCTTTGCAAGCCAACGCGGTGACTCGTTGCTGACCAGCATACCAAGGGCGAGGAAGACGGCGGGGAGTCCCTGCATAGCAAGGGATACAATCCATTGGGCATTTCCTTTGACGTGGAGAAGGTTTCCGTAATTGATCCAGAAAGCGATACAGACACCAGTGACAATCTGTTTGTAAAGAATTAGCTGATGATCAGAGCTAAAAGGAAGAAATGAGATACTTACAAAGAGTTGATATAGACCAGTCAAAGCACCACGAATGGCACGAGGGGCGTTTTCAGATGTGTAAAGAGGGTTGACCATAGAAGCAGCACCGACCCCGACACCAGAGACAAATCTACTCAAATTTTAGTCGCCGTCATTCACAGCAGTCTGTTCGCAATACTGACCTTCCAATATACATAGCAGCCAAGTGACCCATGGACGCGGCTTGCAATACGGTTCCAACAATAGCAATTATAGCACATCCAAAGAGTGTAACCCTTCGCCCAAACTTATCGGCAAACCAACTGGCAGCCAATGCACCAATGAAACATCCTGCCTGTAGAGTAGACACGATGTTCGCCTCCAAGTTGGCACCACCAACTTTGTCTAGATGCTGAAGCCCAAACATACTAAGAAGAACAAATCCATTAGTCCCATGTGACGGTTTAGAAAATTAACAATATCATGAACAGGAAACATACTGTCTGAAAGTGTCCAGTTTCAGGACACCGCCGATAATACCAATATCCATACCAAACAACATACCAGCAAAGCATGCTGAGCATGATAGGACATAAACCCTCCAGTTGTAAATCTGGGGGGGATCATTTTTCATGGCATCATTCTTGACAATCTTTGTGAGGAAAGACATCTTGAGCGTTTTTTCTGGAGGGTCTCTGAATGAACTCGCCGTGGACCTGTCGAACACAAGATGAATTGAAGGGGCCTTTGGACATTCATATATACCCTCAACCCTCCCCCCCCCCCCCCCCCCCCCCCCCTCTTCCCCAACACCCCTACTTACTCCACCTCCACATATTGAGGAGTTTGATTATAGTAGCTTTCATGCATATGATATGCGTCTTTGCCACAACTCGCTTGTTCGCCTGCTTAGGCAAGGGTAGGGTAAAGTCCATACAGAGTAAATCCTATTGTTTTTTTAACTTTTAGTTATCGGTGCTCGGGAGAATCTTGAGCGCCTTGGTTTTCTTGGCCGGCGCAAGATCTAACATTACCACGTGTGGATGACAGGATCTAGGACAATGTGTTAGGCCTTTCACGGAAGACGTTTCCTAACCGTACGGGCATCAGTGCGAGAAGATGGTGTGGACTATGCAGCCATTATCTCAGTTTGACTTCCATACAGACCATACCCTAAAAAGCCACTTTCAGCTTTACCGAACTCCTAAGCATTTGTTAGAGTGCACTATGGCATGGCTCCCATCCCCACCTTTTTACCCCACAACCGGCTAATCTCACTAAAAACACGTCCCGCACCTCTATGTAGAGCAGGCAACGGGCGCCAGATTAGTTGGGCAGATTTTATTACCGAGTCCGACTTTGGCATGGATAAATGATCTAGCGTTACCAACCTTTGGATCATAGCCAGTCAATTGAAAACTCATGCGAGACTGTATTCCATAGCCCACCGGGGGATGATCACCAATCACAACACCAGGACAGACGGGGAAACACCAAAAACTTACCGCAGGTTCAACTAGCATTCGGTGAAATACCCTAGTACTATCAGGTACCTCTGGATTGAGGATATAGGGTGGTCAAACCCAGGTTTTTTCCAGCTTTCGATGCACATGGAAAACGCGTCGTAATTATGTAGTTACTCCTGGACCAGGTGATTTCCAAATTCTCAACTCATGTGGCCCAGCAGAGGCAATCTAAGGCGTTGTATTAGCAGCCCCTTGGCTCACCCCAGATTTCAGAGGCGTTTTCTCAAATATGGGGGCGGAACCAGTGCCCACACCTTGGCCCGATTAACTAACCCCACACGCCAAGAAAACAGTTACATACTTCACGGCCCTTCCGTTTCTTACTTTAGTGGTGAATTGTTCAATCTTGGCTTTATCTCACGCGCGCACTTCGAATCTTTAAAGGACCGAAGCTTCAGCCACATATTACATAGCAAACGCCAAAAACTCAAATTTAAGCCGACATGATTTATCCCTCGACAATCTTCGCTATAATATTCCCCGCATGTCTTGGATGAGGGAAAATCAATGGCTCCGGGCTATATCGACGCTCCATTCCATCCCGTCCATTCTGTGATGGGTGTCAAACTATCTATTTATCACAATATCTATTTATCAAAAGAGATTTTTCTCCATTCATGATTGGTGTGAAATTTATTAATCTAAAATTCCTCTTATATTACAGGGGGACCCTTTTTCCTATTCTTCTACCTCCCTCCGAAAGCAGGTGCGTATAGGTGATGGAGATCTTTACGAATTCCAACATAGCGATCTATCCCAAGAAGAGTCAATCTCGATTTAGTGCGTGCGCGACTACCTGCCGTATATCTGTCTGGCCTGGATGGGATATTTTCAAAATCCCTGAATTTCAAAGCTCTTTGGGGGTTTTACGCGGCTACCCTGGTAATCTATGTTCTTACTGCTGTAAATTTAAAGTAGACACATAAGGGTTAAATTCCGGTTAAACTTGCCGCCAGCATGATTATTTTACAAAAATGATCTAGCTTATCTTTCCACTGTGGTTATGAATTGGATTGGGCTCACGAATACTTTCATTTTTTTCCTTGATTCAAACCGATTGATGCATGGTGAAGTAAGTGAGTTATTGTGGAAAGATTCTTGCGACATAGTGGAGTACTAATCTATAGCCACGGCCGCTGTAACTATCCATACACGGGTCGGAAATAACAAAACCCCGAATGTGAGATACGGGGGTACGCTTTCTTAGAATACCTAGTCTCGGGACAATGTTAAGAAAATGGGTGTTCGGCGTGTTCCACCTTTCTTTCTTCGGGTCCACAGCTTGGAAGAATAGTGAGAAATGAGGTACGTTCGGAGTATGTTACCCCTGACTCGAGAATAACTGCCAGCCATGGGGTACACGTAGACCATGAAAGACATATTATACAAAGGGTCCGGTTCGTCTCATCTCACTCGCACCCCCGCTCCAGCGGCCAGGAAAGAAGCACTCTATATGATGGGAACAGAGGAACTAAGGATCGTCTTGCATTGGGAATCATTGGAAAGGTGTGGTGTTACAATATGTGCATTACAACTGTTCCCACTTCTTTTCTCCGAGATATCCTGCAAATCATAATTATTCCTTATAAGAACCGCCCATACCTATAGCTAATCAATAACGCGAAAATATAGGTCTATAGAGTATAGAAATATTAAGACCTCCAGTTCAATGGTTAAATTCTTACTGTATCTGCAGTTACAAAAAACTGAACGTGGAATCTCAACGCGGCATTAGAGTGCAATACCCGCCTACTTAACGTAATGCTTGCAAAAGGATATCCGGCGAATATAGTGATATCAGAGTGTATCCGAACCACTACAGAGATATCAGAATAGGTGTATCCGGAAAAAGAAGATTCTCCACTTGCAATGTACGGACGGATAAGCACTTGATATACCAACAGCGGCAGATGGGTACGAAAGATTACCTCCGCCCAAATCTCAATCATCGGATAAATCTGGATAAACTTACGCCCACGGATAGTGCTCCGCTGAATCCTGTTATTCGAGTGATAGGCTATGATCCTAGATATTCTTGATTAGACTTTTTGTGCATATGCACGCACGCAACGACGGAGAGATACCCAGAATTCGAGATTTCTGTCTCAACTGCTCGATCTGAAGCCCGAGATTCGCGATGGCTACCTTTCCATCGGCTGAACGGCATCTTCAGGCAGGTACAGATACGCACCTAGGCGCCGACGCTGGTCCCAGGGACTGAACCCACTCCTGATTCAAAAATGAAAAAAGAAATACTAGATTCGGATGCCCTGCAAATACAAGCATTTTGGATAAACAGCCATCATAGGTAAATTTCCGAATTGTTGTCATGACGCAGGTTCTTCCATCACTATTTCGTCAACTAATCCTGTAAGGCTACGCTCAGGGACGATAAGTGACCGCTGTTCCAGTTTTCAACATCATCCTAGCTCTTGAGGATCATAGTAGGGAAATTTAATCCATAGTGAGTTATTTTAAATTTAACTAATCAATGTCCTCGAATCTAGATCTGAGCACCTCTGTAAGCATTTACACCACGAACAACTAAACAAAGCAACCGATCCGCATATTTTCAAAAGTCCGGCGATAAAGGGCTTCTGAACTACGGTTCCACTCCTCGTACGAACATAATCCGAAGAATTCTTACTGATGAAAAATGCCTCGGCGGTAAGTACATGTAAGTTGTGCAATATCAATATAGTTCTCTCGGGACCAACCGGATGCCATGATCACAGCCACGTGCATGGGATAAAGAATATACAGAGCTTTGTTGATTGAGTTACCCGATACCTAATACTGCAATGATAGGTACATTATCTCTAGACATGTTTCTTGGTTGTCCAAACTAATCGCGAAGAAAGGAAATAAAACGAGTTAGCAATTAATGAATTAAACAAAAAAAAATAAAAAAAATAAAACGAGTTGTGTGACCCTGAAAACGAGTGACATTTCATGATATATCCAAGAGTGTTCAACGCTGCGTCTGTCCTGATTCACTTATCTGTCCCTGGGAATGGCAACTGATACATACATGAAAATCAGAGTAAGAGTATTGAAATCGGCAAATGCGCCGGATTCGACCGGATCACCCCATGGATCAATACTCAGCCATGACCAACAAGCGGCTCGGGATAAGTAACTGCCATAAGCAATTGCCACAATCGTCAACCTCTAGGTTTAGGATACCCTCGATACGGATACCGATACAGATACACTATATACTTCCGAATTAGCCTAAATATATGTCTAAGATCATGTAAGTGCTTCTATACGTCTTCTCTGCCTTCGGAACACGGAAGTTACCCATCGAATGTAGATCCTTCTTTTCTACGATCTGCAGACATAATCACCCTATTTCCACGGTTCTGACATGACGATACGGCTATAGATGCATGGATAGATATATGTAGCCATGATTTGAGTCCTCCCGACAGTACACGTTAATTCGTTGAATGATGATACATATTAATCCACCTCAAAACCCCTCAAGATAGAGAAGCAAAAAAAAGAGAGAAAAAGCTTAATTAACGCGCTTAGATTAAGTAGCGGACAATCTTCTCTTCTCAGATAAGCTTGTCAGCTGTTTTTATATCTACGTCGCGAGCATTCTTCGACCGCAACAAATACTACTACTACATGTCAGACGGCCGGACGCGGTTTATCCAATGCTTAAATCAGTAAATCCCCCTTAGGGAAACCCTGCCATATATGGACAATTGCAGGTTCAAAAGGCCATGCTCCGGCTCCTTGGGCCCGTACTGACTAGTACATGTAGGTCATGACGAAATTGTTGCATAACTGGCGTGGCGGCGTGGAAATAGCTGGTGGCGAGAATCTATATATATCCTATTTGAGATCTTATACTACGCACAGTTGGTTGTATAAATAAATTGTATATCATGCTATTCCGCCTTTTTATCTATTCTGCTGAGTTGGTCCACGCTCGGTGTCCATATTGACCGTAGAGAGATATCTACAGTACCGAAAAGCGGATGGACCCAGTACCACACCTAGTAGAATACAGCAAGGCTACGATATTGCTACAGTATTGTTACGGTATAATAATTAGGATTCCGATTTAATTTGGAAGTTTTGTATTGGTACAGTACTTATTACATCCCCATTCTTCGTACTGACTTAGATATAGACACCTAGCTACCTCCGTGCGTAGATGCATTCAAGTGCTGTAGCCATGTCAAGAAGCTGTAAGCTGGATTTAGAGTGTTCAGCTAGCGCTGCAGGGAATCCCGGCTGGCATCTATCATACATTAATCCTCGTATCAAAATAGCAGGTATTGTTGAACATTAAGCGGTCATGGCGCATGATTTGAAAATCTTCAAAAGCCTAGATAATAAGTTCATGAGCTATCACTCGGCCTAAACCAACGTAAGGACCACACAACCCCAGAAGCTCAAGAAATTTCGTTAAATCACTACGACCTTTCCTCAACTATTTTGATGTAAAATGTCTCTTAGGTTCTTCGAATAGTGCGGTAATTAATGCAGGACGAGAAGATAGGCAAGACAATTAACAACACCACTTCTCGAGAGCCATATCATACCATATCTACAAAATAGAACCCTAACCTACACCAATCACTCTATCGTATCTTCGCCAGCGCGATCCCCTTGATCTCCCTCAAAGTTGAACTGGGAGATCCAGGGGACCCTATAGAGGGGAAGGTGCCGCCGGGGATGGCCCTACTATAGTTAGCAATCAAGTTCTGCCAAGACGGGTGTAATTTTGGCCACTATCAGGATAAGCCAAACAGACGCCAAGATTAGAGCTGACAAACCTTTTGGAAACTGGTCCTTCTTGTTATGCTACAGCATTGTTGCTTTTGAACCTTCCGAGTCCGTACTATGTCCCTGGCCATGATGGAATCATGAGCAGCTTAGGTGTCCGGTAAGATAAGCTGATATTCTCCAACATTGGAGACCTCTGGTCGGTATAAATAGTTTGACTATCTATATGAATCTTAGGAAGATAACTGCCTCTTCTATGGCAAGAGATACGCCATCGTTAGATATTTCTGGGTGACAAAGGTTCCCATTATCTTTTGTGAGGTACATATCTCTTGGAATGACTATAACCGTGACTCAAGCCACAGCCATAACAGATACGAGAGGGATAGTTACGCGGCCCGAAAGTCGAAGATCAACAGAGCATGTCTCCCGGGCGCGAATCCCGCGTACCAACTTTGAAGATTTGTCGTTTTAATCAATTTCTGCTGGCTATTGCGCGAAATCGTAGGAACTTTTGGCGTTATCCCACTTGGTCTGTGAACTGGTTCTTATGATACTTCGCTGTAGATGGGGCCAAAGGAGATCTAGAGTCTCAGGCGAATAATACATGTAGCTATCCTATCTTTTTTGTCACACCAGGAAACATAATTATGCGAGCGCCAAAATGCTCGGTGTCGGCTCGGCGTTGGGTGGCCGGGATATGTAGTCAAATATCTTACCTAATTAAGATCAGTCGATCCATTCCTTCACTGTCACGGTCTTTACTTGATCACTCATGTGTATTGTGATTTTCCAGGTCAGTGCCCTGTTGGAGACGCCTTTACCGCATTCCTTGTTGCACGTTGGGGTAATAAAAAGAACGTCGTTGGCTTCTGCCACCTGGCACGTTTCGCAACAGTTGCAGCCCAGTAGCGAGAATAGAGATACAATCAAAAGCGTTGTGAGTTGTGAGTGCTAGATCAATTAATGGAAGGATAGGGAGAAAATACCTAGATAATAAGCTACAATCGGAAGCGATATATATACTATCGGAGGATCTAGAAATAATAAAACGCAACGAGTAGCAAAATGCTGCATGTCGGGAGATCTAGAAACGGAGATGCAATAGCTGCAAGCTTGCGAAAAGTATATATCAGAGAAGAGTATATACAATTATTGTAGATAGAAACCGCTATGAGCCCGCAGCCGAGAGGTAAATAAGACAGCACAACTCCTATAGAATTTGTCATGAAATAAACAAAAAAATATTGAATTTGTCCTTTTGCTTGATATCCAAGCAATTAAATCTAAGCAATTAAATCTACCAAGAATGCCAAGATCATATTTTTCTTATTTATGACTCGAGTGATATTACATGATGAGAAGTATCAATCCTTCATGGGGTAGAATGGATGGAAACCATGTTAGTTATCATCGGCTTGTAAGTTATAAAAGGTGGAACAATGGTCCGTACGACCCGTGGTATATGTCTATCGGGTACATAACATCGAGAACTTGATCATAAAGTATCACTCGATCTACAAAAACCATCCTCGAGAAATATAAGTCTTGTTAGTTTTTATGGTCCTATCATTCCTATCATGTGCTTTTAACCTCATGTAAAGACTTGCCTACTCTCTTTCTTTATCACACTATCAACACCTAGGTGTCTATCCATCCATAGAACCCGGGTCCCCCCAAAAGCAAGGGTCAAACAAATATCTCTGCGTCCCGCACAATCTTTATGGCCCGGCCATTCTAGTTATGATCAACGTAATGAAAGGAAAAAGATGCCGCCCACACTCCTCATCTAGCGCCCCCCTATCACGGACTCTTTCATCAACCTTTCCACCTCATTCTGTATGCCAATTGTCTCATGCCCAGCTTCGTGAGCAAGAAAACCCTAGGGTAGACTTGCTTCTCCCCTCTATATCTTGAGCACATGTCCGCTATACTGTGCCCGTATTCACCGGCCACAGCGCTACAAGCTGCCAACATTGCCCCTCCCTCCCTCGTTTCAAGCCCTAACTACAGCTCCATGACAAAGCTTTCACATCAAGTTAGCCATGCGCTGGTTATAGAGAAGAGAGGGGACAAGAAGAGGCACATACAGCTCGCGGTCCGCTTCGAACAAACACATCCCTCATCGTTATCGTACTTTCGTGCTGTTTTCCTAAAGGGGGGGATCAAGCCCACCACCACCACCACCACCACCAACCCTAGAAAAGATAAAGCCAGCCGTTGTTCCAGCTCACCCTCCCCACCCATATATCCTTTAAGTTTCAGCCTTGCGGCCATACTCCCCCCAGAACCCAAAGACTTTGATTCCTCGTAAGGTGCCGATGTAGCCATCTAGTAAGCATCCACCAATCCCTAGTCGGCATAGTTTATGGTTAGGACAGCTACAATGTCCTTATCAATTGCGGGTCAAATGAACAGTCAATATCAACGGCGTTGATATCGCTGAGAATTGATGACTACTACTAGAGACGCCCCACCATGTATTAGCAACCAACCCAACAAGAAAGATAGACACCTCCAACCAACCACAAAGACTCACTATCTTCATCAAGCTAGGTGTTCTAGTTCCACCCACCAGAAACCAATCACAACACAGACACAGACAGGAAGCGTGGGGAGGAGACGATGGGAACCGGGGGTGAGATCCAGCATTATCGCACCAAGGAGAAAGAGGCCCATTAGCGATACGTAGGATAGAATGTTATTTTTCAATGTGTATAAGAATTTAACCAGAACGAATATGATGATGATGGTGATGATGATGATGGAGAGGAGAGATACTTATAGTCCCTTGTTAGTGCTGGTGTAGTATACGTATAGTGAGCAGACTTCCAGAAGACAGCGTATCTGGGCTGACATACGTATCCATCCATCCACAACCTGGCCCGTCGTGTACTCCGATTGACCCAGTCCTGTGAAACAAACAGCCGTGGCATACAAGTAGCACCCAGTCCCACCACCACACCTCCGCCTGCCTCCATCCATCTGCGCATGCACATTACACCACAGCCGCATGCACGCGCACGTGCGCACGCTCCATCTCGCGCCCACATCCACACCCACGATCCAGATGTCTCACCGCAACCCGATCTCGCACCCGATAGGCATACCACTCTCCTCTCTTCTCCAACCCGTGCAGATCAGTCCGCACTCTACCAGTCGGTCTTGCTAGCGAGTGAGGCCCGGAGCTGCGGTGCTTCATTGGGCATCTCCTCTAGCGAGACAGCACCCCGAGGCCCCGAACACCGCGCTGCGCTGCGCATCCCATAGGTACGTCCCGGGCAGCGAGACTCGCACCGCCAGATCTGCACTACCACGCAAAAAAGTACCCTTGGGAGCTTTGCAGCAGCGGAATCCCGCTTCCAGCCAGTATCGAGTGACGCGCCATGATGCGACACACCAGCCAACCAGACAGCGCCTGTGTAGCAAAGTGCTCAACTTCAGCTTCCAACGATTTTGTGCACTTTCACTTGTAGGTGCAATCAACCATACAATCACGCACACATTGTTGTGGTGGCGTCCTGTTCTAAAAATATGACACGAATCATTCACGGGGACAGAGAGTGATCAAGACGAGTTTGTTTGGTTAAAATAGGTACAGAATAATGATGATGTGGTATCGACATCTTCTCGTCGTGTTGTCCTGCTTGCCCTCTCAGAGGCAGGAATGCAATAGAGGAAGAATGCAAAAAAAAGATCTCAAACCAGTTGGTAGTATGTAGATAACTACATGTACTTAGCGATAGCTAGTTGAAAAGAAAAGAAAAAAAAGATCCCCAACCCCACATGAATACGCAGAAACAGCAAAAGCAGATATAAATGAAGAAATAAACCCCGATAAAATAGACCGTGGAAAAAACCAAAAGGAAATTTTGAAAGCAATGTTAAATACCCGCCCCCAGTACCACCAAACATCTAATGTCAGTCCATCCATCCATCCATCCATCCACACCTCCAGTTAAGCCCGCTACACCGCTTGCTCGCTCGCTCCCCTACGCGGTTAAAGAAGAAAAAAATTATAACGAAGGCAAAATACTATGTAAGAAAATTAAGACAAAGAAAGAATTAAAGAAGGGTACTTTTTTCTAAACCGACTCCAACACACACACACACACACTCACTCACTCACTCGCTCACACGATCTCATCCCATCCATCCCTTCAAAACCCAAAAAACTCCGGCTGACCAATGAGTTCCTGAATCACCATCGCAGCACTTCCCTTTTTTATTTTTCAGCTCGTTTTCTCAGCATCATTAACTAATTCTGCCCAGCAAAGGCCCTGTCCATCTGCGACTCGATGCTAGTACCCGGTGAATCGTCCTGGTGGGTAGGGCTCATGGGGAGCATGACTACTGTCGAGTTTTTCCTGCTTCCCGGAGCTGGGCCCTCGAAATCAAGAGGGGGCAAGGCTTTGACTGTGGATGCGTCTTGTGAACCCTGAGACTTGTGCGATCCATAGCTCTGCGGGCGCTCGCTTTCTGAGGGTGCTGCGGGCATATATGTCAGAGGCCTATATGTTGGCTGGTAAGTCTCGGAAAGGATGTTCTCTCGAGACTGGACCGCCCCCTGCTGATGATATGGGACATATCCGCCCTCAGGGTTGATCTCGGGAGACTGCGACTGGCTCCTCTCGCTATTCGGATAACTCTGTCTGAATGGCGCCGGACTCAATCCTGAAGGGCTATCAGCCTTCGGAGAGTCGGGCATAGGCTGGTCCAGCGGGCGGTACTCAATAAAGCCCTCACCGCCAGACTCCCCATCCGTATCAAACTCATCATCAGCGCCAGGTACTCGCTGAACCATCCTCCAGTCCTCGGCAATGTCGAAACAATGACTGCGTCGGTAGGTGTAATCTATCTCGTCGTCGCCGTTAAGATTGCTCGAGGATCCCGCGGGACCGAGACCTCCATATGGCCCTGAAACTCCCCAGATTCCACTCATCCGGCTGGCCCTGTTGTTGCTCCTCTCCCATGGCAGAGACCCCTTGACGTTTTCACATAGGAAGTACTCAACGCCATCTCCATACTGGCAACCAACAGCATCAACAACCGTCATCGGAAGGTTCTGGAGAACACAATACATGAAAATCCACCTTCCCCTGCGGGCCTCAATGATATCATCCAAGTTCTTTCCTTTCGCGAAATCTGCCTCAAGTTTCAGGTAAGCGCTAGCAAATTCATTCTGTCTTGCCCGTTCGACAGTATCCTCGTTGTATGAGTTCTTCAACACCACCGCCAGCTCGTCCGACTTCAACTTCTTCTGCGATCTTGGCTTCTTTGACTTTTTTTTCTCAGTGGCAGGCGCTGCTGTGATGTGCAGCAGGCGAGGCTGATCGAACGGAATGTTGGGCTGAACAGGGACAGTGGAGTTATCCAGAGCCGCCATAATCTTCCTCAATGCATTCCGCGCGCCCTCCTCCTTTGTCCTCTGCTCCTTCCCTTCTTCACCCTCAGAGAAATAGGTAGCCTCAAAGCGAATCCTCTCACCGTGGATCCACTCGCGATCCACCAACAAGTCGTACAAAACACAGAAATCATCATAAAGCCGTTTCAGCACCAGCCTGTTCAGACCACCGGTCTCAGTATATCCACCTCCCTTTCCATGCTTCCCAGCCTTTGGTGGCCATGACCCGTAAACATTCTTGTAAAAGCTCAGCGTAAGTTTCCTCATGGCCTCGAATCCTGCCTTCCAGGGCTTCAATTCAGGGTACTTGTCATCACCAACCCACACGGACGGGTAGTCGAAATTAGTCAGCCCAGTCGTAACATTGTACAAGCGAATCTGGTGCAGATTGAGCGAGGCACGATCCAGGCGTTTCTTTGTTTCCTGGGAGATATATTGCAGTCCCGTATGACCCTTAATATCCTCCCATCTACCGCTTGCATGGATGAATCCCTCCCTGTACAACCTCTGGCACCTCCAGCGCTCGCCCATTATCAAAGCCTCGATAATCGCGTCATCATCATTTCGGATGTCATCAATCTTCAACTCCTCAACGTAATACAAGAAATTTCCCTCCGCCGCGTTGATCTTCCTTGACAGGTTCAGGTCCTCAGCATGCAATTCTGGCGAATGGGGTCCCTGTAGCTGCTTGAATATCTTTTCCATAATCTGAAAAGGGGTTTCCCTATGCAGCGTAGAGACAAGGAATGTGTAATTGAGAAACGCAAACAAGTTTCGGACGTCGATGAGCCTCTGAAACGAGTCATTGTTAGGATCCGAGTTTGAATGCTTGTGCTTCTTCCCCTTCATGGGAAGAGCAGCTTTCGGCTCCGAGTCGGTCGGCGGATAGTAGACCTTGTACGCGACATTTTGGTCCATGAAACTGTCCCCCTCCCCTGTTTGAGCTAACTGGTTGAGAATGCCCGGTTGACCGGATAGATCCTCATCTCCCCCTGGGCGCGATGACGTTGGCGCACTTCCCGGCCTGTTATCCTGCTTGAAAGGGGCCGAAGGAACGCCCCTTGGAACCTCCAAAAACAGATCCTGCGAGTCCTCAGGGCCTTCAGAAAATTGCAAATCCTCGATATACTGACCGAGCGCAGCAAACATCAGCGGACCCGAATTGATCCTAAAGCTCGGTGCGACCGACTTTGCTGCATTCCTGGGTGCTAAAAATACCAGCGTATCACCCGTGGGGTCCCACAGATCCGGTACCTACAAATCCAACCAAACCCGATGAGTCAGCCAACCTAATAAATAAAACTCGAATACGACGAGCGACTCGCAGGGTTTATAATTAGTTAAAAACAGATCAAATTTCCAACGTACCTGACCACCCCGAGTCAGGGGCCCGAAATTGTATCCCTCCAAGTTCTCGCTGCTTCCATGAGCTAGCCTCCAAGCAGCCGGGATCTCAACGTCATCCTTGCGCTTCTTGCCAAAGATCCCGCGGCGGCCCTTCTTGCCCTTGAGCTGCCTGGGGATATCCGCCGTTGTCGGACTGGGTGGCATAGGAATCTGTGCTTGTGAGGATGATGTAGGTCGCGAAGAGCCGTACGATGTGTATGATGCAGCCGAGACAACCGAGATGCCAGACATGCCAGACATTCCCGACATTGCTGAGGCGCCAGAGAAGTTTCTCGAAGTTCGTGAGGATCCAACCGGCGACGAAGAAGGATGAAGATATGGCGACAGCGAACCCGATGCAACAGGTGGGTGAGCTGGTGTAGGTGCTAATGATAATGATTCTACTCGTTTTGGGTGGATTGATGGTGAATCTTGGACTTTTGGTGATGAGGGCAGTGGCATAGAAAAAGTGCGGGTAGCCTTTGGTGGTGCGGTCCCGCTGGTGGGTGTTCCGTTCAGAGCGGTGATGGGCGTCTGAAGACTATCCGACCTTTGTTTTGTTGTCGAATGTTTGTGTTGAGAGGAGGGAGTGGCGGCGGTGTTATTGTTTGTGGCACGTTTTCTTGCACTTTCTCTTGCACAACTTCCTCACTGGCTGGGGAGCCCCCAAAGAATCCGGTGAAACGCTTCATAGAGGTGCTGTCAAATATTGACGAAGCTCTACGCCTGGACGTCTTAGCCATGATTATTCAACACACACGCACGCCCAATGATAATAATAAATAAATAAATAAACAATCCTGCTGATGGTGGTTGCAGTGCTCTGCTGATCGATCTGTGGCTGCGATGGAAATAGAACGGAACAGGGAAACAAAAAATGATATGATAGACACCAGATCGAAGAAAAATAATATGGGGATTAATGAAAAAAGTAGATGTGGGCCGTCGAGATTTTCTTTATCGAAACCACTAGCAAGAGAATTGAGGGGAGAGGATTGGGGGGGTGGGGAGATATAAAATAGAAAAAAGAGGTGAGGTACACACCAATATGCGTGTTGGAAGGGGGGGGTTCAAATCCAACAATCAAGAGATTAAGTGCGCCTGGAACGGGAGTGTAACCACGAGGATCCCCACAGGCCAGTTTCTAAGGAAAAGAGAAAAAAAGCTGCTACAAAAATGATAGTCAGTACAACCTGGCCGCTTCTAGTATCTACTGCACGGGCATCGCCGCATAACCTGTTACGGGAAGATAAAATAATGGGAAATACGTACTTGACTGGTGTAGCAAAAAAAGCAAGTAGTGACCCAGAAGTGGAGATGATGGTAGATGGTATGATGCTTGGGAGGGGGACACGACAGCAAAAAGAACACTGCCAACGTCTACTATATACCAAACGGGATGGGGCGAGTAAGGGATGTTCTGTGAGTGACGAGGATGATGGTTGTGAGTTTTGGATTTGGAAACGGTTATACCAGTTAAGAACTGTGATATGCAGTAGGTAGCTGTCCCTGGCTGGCTGAGGGGGCTTGAACCTGGCTGCAGCAGTAACAGGCGATGGGTATAAACACTAGGGATAGGTATATAGCTCTGATCTGAGGCTGATGATGTCGATGGTCTAACTCTGACTCTTTTCGATGCTGGAGCTGGGAGTAATAGTAATATAACGAACGAGCAAGAGGAGGTTTCGTAGCAGGTGGACCAGTCGGGTCATTCAGGTCACGCACTCACTCGATGTATTTAAGGGATAATCAAGTGTGCACTGCACAAGGCCACCAGAAATATATTTAAAGAATAGAACGGATATGCGGTTGGAATGCACCACTAAGTGTGCCTGTATGTACGAAGTATGAGAAAGTTATATATGTGGTGGATAGAACGGATGTCGAAGAAGAAGCACGAATGAGGCAGAAAACGAAAGGCTAGTCCACAAAAGAGACAGAGAGTAAAAAAATTAAAAGGGACTTTGGAAAGGAAGGATCTAGGAACTGAGAAGAACCGAGAAAACCCATTAGCTTCCTTTCTCTACATACGATCCACCATAGATCTAGCTAAAGCTACTAGCTCAAGTTGAGAGGAAAAAATCCATTTCTTCGGTTTCTTCGGATGGATGGACAACATGCTGCTGGGGATTCTAAAATTACTACATAGCTCCTCACAGCGCTCCACTCACTTCCCACCTCCTCCACCACTAACCCTCTTCCATCCGCCTTACCTGATCGCTAAGAATTCAAGACAGAGAGCAGCAGCGGAACAGAAAAAAGGCCGAACGACGACCCAGTTATGCAATGACGCAAGCCCCCGGACTCTTTCCGCCTGGTAATTGGTCGTCCCACAGCTGCGGCTCAACCACTCATCCACCCCTGACCTAACCGTTGCCAACTTGCTCTATCCCAATCGAGCAAAGACCCTTTCTCTTCCTCCCTAGACCCTGTTTTAAACTCCGCCCCACCCTTCCATGTCCTTCCCTGTTACGGAAAGCTGTCAACGAAGGTTTTGTGGCTTTCCAAAGGTTAATGGGCATTGGGGGACAGGAAGGGCGTTATAAAGCCCAGGTACCAAAACTGCCAGACAGTTAACGCCTCGCCCGAGCTGCAACTGCAACTGCACTTTTTACGTTTGCGTTGGTGACCGATGGATGACCCCTTAAGAAGAGCAGAAAAAAAATCCAGTTTGGGAAGACAGCATTTCACTTTTATGTAGAGTAGCAATTATGCACTTTTCACGGAATGGGAAAGAAAGAGAGCACAAAGGAAAGAAAAAAAAAATAATCAGCCGCGCACTGTCCACGTTTCATGGACTGCGTGTTTGTATGGCTGCCTGTCGATTTCGGGCTTTCCTAAAGGAAGCTGAAACGTGTCTGGTATTCTACTTCTAGGAATGAGTTGAAGCTAGGGGGAAAGCAGGAGGACGATGTCGAGGAACCATGGAGCTTGGGAGGAAGTCCGGCTTGGAAAGTAAGGTAAGGAAAGATGTATACAAGGTGCCTAAGGTAAGGTAGAGGCTGTATGAAGTGCCAGCGAAAAAAAGAACCCGAGCCCTTGTTTACAATATCCATCCACCCACCACCACCACCACCACCACGGCCCATGGCTATGGATGGATGGCTATGGCTCATGAATCGGTACCTTTTCAGCCGTCGGAAGCTACAGCGTACCACTATGTACTCATATCCCCGAATGTTAATCGGTCGGTTAAGGGATGTGTTTTTCTTTCCCATCCCGCCCGTCTGTGTCGTTGTGACAAAAACCTTTTTGTCTGGAGGTGAACATCCTGGGTCACACAGACGCTTCCCACTCCCACTCCCACTCCCACTCCCACTCCCGTGGATCCTTGCCTTCTTTCCACCGCCAAGGGAGTGGGGAGATTATTATTAGAACTCGATACCTTTAGACTCTGAAGGCCGCCAAAACCCTCTCGCTTGGATCAAGCGCGGGTAAAGACTTCGTTTACACAGTCAATGTAGAGCTACATATGTACGGTACTGTATGTACATTGTACATGTAGGTATATACATTGGACTGAAGCCTCTCTCTCACGGGTTCCGGAAAGGTACCGGTATACCTACAGCAAACACATCACCATCAATCGAGTCGACGTCTCCATGTCCCTCTGCGGTGGCAGCATACAGCACAACCTCCAACCTCCAACCACCCCCCTATATTCCTGTCCTCCCACTCCACGGTACTACATATACGAGCACCCTCATATAAGCACTCCAGCGGCGGCGAAAAGGTTAAAATACACCCAATCCCGATCCCTTCATCCCCCCCCCCCCCCAATCCCATTACCTCAAATTACAAATGTTGGTATCCGGGAGGGAGGCGCCTTCCCACCAACCAACACTCCGACAATCACGTGGTACGGATGCGATATAGCGCCCATGGACCAACGTCCTTCTCGCGATGCAAGTGCTGTTTCTTGGTCGTTGGCGACAATGAGCAGACAAGTACCTACTCGTACTCTAGTGAACGATTAAACTTGTCCGGGCTCTGCCACCCCCATTTTTCCATATATACCTACAGACTACACTGAGGAACAGAAAGAGAAAAAAAACTTGAGCGCCAGCCAATCGATACGCATCGCATAGATCCACCAGGTTACTACTCCATTAACGAGCGCACAGGATATTTTAAGCCAGAGACAGAACCAAAGACACCGGCCGCGAGACAGCGCAAAGATTTGCGTGGCGTCTGCAGGGACCTAACACCAACCCACCTAACGCAGTAGCAGCAATTAACCTCGCATCCCCTCGAATCGGGCTTTTTCTCTCGCTCGCTGCACATACGAACGAGCGACTCACTCACGCTTCGAGTAGCTGTTAACTGATGCGATGCAGGACGCAAAAAAAAGGGCAGCAATAATATGGCGTGCCGTCAGTCGCGCGCGCAAAAGGAGTTATGTGCTTCTGCCTTTTTTTCTCTCTTTCTGACAAACCCGCCTAGCCAAGCTAGCTAGCTAGGAAGCTGGGCAATTAACGCGCGCTGCACACACCACCACCACCAAGCAGCAAGTAGCAGCTCACTCACCACCCATGGTGTACCCATAAGGCATCATCACCACACTTCCTTCCCTCCGCCAGAGTGCAATTAACATGACCGCTCATTAACAGTCCCCCGAGATTATTGCACCTCCCCCCAGGGGGCTGTTTCGGGACTCGGGTCGCGCAGCATCCGGTTAAGAAAGCTTTCTGTCTGTGCTGCTTACACATAAAATTCTACTTAATAATAATAATGAATCGGTATCGATCGTAATAATAATAATATTGCACTTTCCAGGCTCCATCACTCTAACTATCCGAGATGGCCCTCACCCTCAGTCGTACGTACTTGCTTACACCTACATGACATGAGCCATGAGCCAAGAGCCAGCCCTTCCAGAAACCTACCTAGAGTACGCGCACGACACAGTAGAGCATCAGCGCAGACTGTAACTGCACATTGATAGAGTAGATAATCCACGATGATCACAATTACCTACTTATAGACCTACATAACTTCACTCACACTTGCACCTTAGACACATATCTACCAATCGCAATATCATATCATCAAATCACGACATTGGGGCCCAACAAACCCTAACCCACCAACGCTCGAACCCTCCGGAAATTAAAGGGTCGGGGATTTTTTGATTGACCTGTTTTGCGGGCGAGAATTTTAAAATGCGGACAGACAGTTTGCAGGTCAATAATGAGTAAATAGGATAGGTAGGTCGAGTGAGAACCAATGTATCGCATCATGTATGGACGGAAGTGCAGTACTTGATGCGT